CTTCCTTCCTTCCTTCCTTCCTTCACAAATTTACGTACAAAATAGTAACAAATTCGATTTCAAAGAGGATACTTACTCATTAGTAGAAGCATTCAACCTGTCCATATAGGATGCTACAATGGCCATAGCGTCCTCTTCTCCCATACCGAACGAATCCCAAGGTACTACATCCCATTCAAAGATGTTCTTCACCTTCGGCTCAAACGGATAGACGTTCGTTCCATGGAAATGTTTCGATAGTGATTCGTACGGTTCCTTGAGGCTCCTTTCTGAGTGGTGAATTTCGTTTAAGAATCCCAAATCAACAACTGGTAAAACTTGTTTGAATTCATCATGTTCTGCGTACGTGAGATGACGTTGAAGCAAAAAGGGATTTTCTGTGGTTAAGTTCTTGCAGCTTTCAGCCTCGGGTATCAAAACATCGTAGTGAAAAATGTCAAGATTAGTATCCGAATCTTCTGTAAAATAGGGGGATAAATATTCTAGTGGTATGTCAGAAAAGTTTGCATTAACAGAGTCTTTCCACTGGACAACAAGATGCTCGTCATGACCAAATTGTACATGGATGATGTCGATGAAGTATTTCTTGCCCGCTATGAGTTCTATTTCATTGGATATTTGAGTAGAATATTTCCAGTAATCATATTTGTATGCCCAGGCGTTTTGTTTCTTTTCTCCTACTTTGGCGATAAGAACTGAATTCTCACTTTTCTCATCGGAACTGAGCCAAATCTCCGACGAATCATCCGAAGAAATAGCGAACCTATACGAAGCGGTTTTCGGAGGCTGAAGAAAACCAAAGATTCTCTCCGYGTATCTTTTATTTCCGGGCCAAGAGAATTCTGTTCCATTGATGATTGTTCTTTTGTTTGGAGCTTTTGGAAAAAGTGGAACGTTGCAAAGAGAATCCACGCATGAGCAGCACACGTTCAGCCACATATGTTGGCTGAGTCCATGGAGTTCACTTTTCTGCCCAACATCATCTATCGTACCTTCCCATACAATACGAGTCTCAATCAAATTCAACAAGTTGTATTTTGAAATATYAACTCTAGTTTTTGAAACTGTTAACAAAAATGTGATGTTAAAAATAAAAGTGAGTAAACCGAGAAAAATAATAGACACCTTCACAAAACTTGCAGATAAAGGAAAC